TGCGATCACCACGACAATCGCTACTATAATGTACTTGCGTGTGAATCCTTTGTTCAACTTTAGATCAGTCAATCTCGCATAATGCACGCTTTCACTCTGTCTTTTGTTGTATCGCATTCGTCAAAATCTTACAGTGTGCACCGATACAAAATACGTCTTACAACTAGAGTTAATGCAGTATCGAATAAGGACGAAGCACACATTTAGTGTAAAGGTTAGGTAAAGCGCACTTTCCCCAAACAAAAACAAGGATGATTGATAGATAGATAGTAATTTGACGATCGAATAGATAAAAGTATTCATTTTCATCTCACTTGCCTACGGTTCCACACATGTACATGTCGATTATTCATATGGCATTGTTCGCTCGCTTCGCCGAGCTTACGTTTATTTTATTCAGAATGTATATATCTTCTCCAAAATGTCCTTGACAATACATACATATATATAACAAGATACAATAGAGAAGAGAAAAGAAAAAGAATAACAACCACAAAGAGATAGAGAGAGAGAGAGATAGAAAAACATCAAGGAGCAGGAATGAGGGTGAGTCACCGCTAACATTCCTCCCCTCTCCTATTAGATGTGTGTCCTCACACATCCATGAGTTCGTGTATTATATGTATATCAATATCAGCAATTTGTTGCTGGTTTATAGATGATACTTGTCGTAAATATTTTCCATCATATGATAATATGTATACGATGATTACTTCTAATAATTTCATCATGTAAATAAATTGTAAATGTTTGATTATGTCGAAGTTCAAATTTCATAAATGAATTTTCACGAGGATGATTTTAATTTAATTTGTTCATCTTTTTATGTAAACAAAAACATTGTCGATTTCCATTTTCATCAATTTTTGTCATTAATTTAATTGGTTTAAATAAATATTTTTTATCCTTTAATTCATTTTGAAATAATAAATATTAAATACTATCTGTTGATGGTATACCTTGAAAAACGATACCAATTTATTTTTATTTTTAAACAATTATATGGATAATCAATTATATATTGTTGTTTCGATATTGGTAATACATAATATGATAATGTTTGTCGAGTTTGATTAAAAATCGATATTTTGATTCAATTGTTAATATGTGTGTACGACCAAGATATTCATGTTCTAAATGGAATATAAAATAATCATTATTCAATAATTTTATAAAATATAAATCAATTGAGCCATTTGTATATAAACGATTATTAATTATGTTTGTTGTATTCATCGTTGTAATATTTCGAAATGTTAAATCAATTGTTCCACATTGAATATGTTCACCGTCCTATGGATCAATAAGTATAAATTGTATTTGACCATATTTTAATTTAAAAAAAAAAAAATTTTTTTTTTGAAATATTCGTTCAGTCTAAGATAATATTGCTCAGCATCATCTTATGATAAATGATGTTCGGAA